AGTAAAATATTGACGCTAATACCATCAAGGTATAGATGGAAGTAGGTAGGTCTCTTTTCCAATAACACACAGAAACTCATAAATCTTCGAGTGATGTTCGTGAATTTGGATGTTGATGTGTGTAACGCGCAGGGTAACGCGTTACCGGGTTCTCACGCATTTACCGGATGTATGACTTGTGTATGGTCCTCATGGTTTAGTTCATCGCAATTTGAGCGAATGCCACCGAAAAATGTTTCTACAATCCGTCTGATTGAAGTGGATGGAACTATGTGAATGAGAAGTTTAGAATCAAATGGTTTGAAAGATCTCAATAATCAGTATCCTATCGCTCTCTCTGTTCGTTATGCTCTCGCGCGCTTATCTCTCATACGCTTGCACTCGCAGGAATTTACTATACCTAAATTTTTTAACTTCTAAGACGTCTGCCACTATTAAAGCTACACTTAATATCGTCTGCCAGGATATATTTTAAAGTAGTGACAAAAAGAGGAATTTTTTAATGTATAATTTTTATACGGTCCTCATGGTTTAGTTCAGGGGTGTTTTTCTCTACATTGGGGGCCGTCTGTCGCCCCCAACGCTGCACTTGATATCGTCTGCCATAGCGTATTTGAAAACTATGGGAAAAATGGCATTTCTGGACATAAATCTTTTCCGTGGCCCGTATATAGTTTAGTAATTTAGTTGATCTCCAAAAGAATCACTTTTCAGTGCCGCCCTCAAGTTAATACTGCCACTTACGACTGGCAGACTGGTGATTTTATTACTAGTTTTCAACGTACTTTCAGCCTGTATATTTTTTGTCGCTTATGGTTTAGTTACTATGTACGCTGCCTCCCGGTCTATAATGGGTATTACAATGAGTTCGATTTCGGTGTTAGCTTTTAACTTGTGAAAATGGTTACTGAGATCGTCATTTGCATACGCTCAGTTCAACGAACTTTATTACGTTTAGTCAAAAAAATCACCAGTAAGCACTTGCGCCATTTTGCGGTCTGTAGCAAATGGGGTTGATTGAACCGAAGAATGCGTTTAGTCAGTGCGTCTATTTTTTTCTTTGAAGGAAATCTTTACTTATTTATGTTGCCACTTTGAAGACTGAACAACTCTTCCATCCGCAACTAAATTCGACCTTTAAACCGATTAATTTCCTCTTTTTAATGAAGTGCTTGCGATCTCTCTTCACTCTATGAGAGATTTCGTATATCTCCTTTTTTATCACTGAATGATCCCCTCTTTAATTATTGAATAATTTTTTTACGATCACATATGGTTAATTATAACTTCAAAATGACGGTGTCTAATTTTTTAAGTGGTCGGTGTCTTATTTCCTACCAATCCTAAACAGCTGCCAATCATTTCAAAAACAAAGGGAACGGCATTTGCCACGGTGGGTTTACCTCATTATGAGCTAAGAAATGTAACTTTATATGCCCATTAAAAAGGATGTTATTTGACCCCGATCGCCGCCATCTTGACGCCTAAGTACTTAAAGAACAATGAAAATGACTAATTAATAATGACGCAAGCATCCATCATCATGAACAATATATTATATCTGGGAAGACACTGCAGAAGGGGGAAACAAGACCATTTTTGGTGTACACCAAAAATTCAAATTCAAATTAATTCACGTTAATTCAAAATAATTTACGTTAATTCAACCTAATTTACGTTAATTCAAATTTATTCACGTTATTTCAATTTAATTCATGTTAATTCATTATTCAATTTAATTTACGTTAATTCAAATTGAATCACGTTAATTCTCATCAATTGTCTGTAATTCTCATTAATTCACATTGATTCAGAGGAGTTGAACACCAAACATTCAAAGTTGTTTCCATCTAGAATTTTTACAAGGCAAATTTTTCAGGACTACAGTTTGCTAGTAAAATATTTCAACGGCGGATTTTTTCTGGGGACAAATTTTTTACACAAGTATACCAGGGAAAAACTTTCCAAGAGCGATTTTATCAATCTTACATTTCCAGGACAAGAATTTTTCCATTTCAAGGGCGATTTTTTTACGTTTCTGGAGACAAGTTTTCCACGCAAGATTCCGGGGCGAGTATTTTACGTGAGTATTTCAGACCATAAACTTCCAATGCAAATTTTCCAAGACAGACTTTCCCTGAACGATTTTTTGGGGACTAAATATTCGAAAGATGATTTTTTCAACATTTTCTGTAGATGAATTTCCTTTTCTGGGCGAATGTTTCAAGGACAATTTTTGGAGACTACATTTTCACGCAAATATTACGAGAGGAAAATTCGTAGAGGCGAATATTCCCTGCATGAATTTACGGGTTGAATCTTACAGGGAAGCATTTTAAAAGGCGATTTTTAGCTTCCTAGCATGTGCTAGGTAGCTATTGCGATAGCCGTTTTTTGAACATTTCAAAATTTCATCAAATGTCAACGTTTTAGACCATTTTAAGCAACTTTTAAAGAATAAAATTTTTTTCCGTCTGTATGTACGTACGTACGTATGTACGTACGTACGTTTGTTGGCAATTTTCTGAGAAAACGGCTCGACGGATTTTGTTGAAATTTTGTATATATGTTTTAGGCATACCGAACAGAAAAATAACGGGCCGGATTTTTGAAAAAAAATTTGGAGCGCCGTAACGGCATCGAACTTTTTTTTTCAAATAGCAACCTAAAATTTTTATTCTATTATTTGGAAGACCTTATTTTCCTGTGTATAACCTACAAAAAATTGGGCCGGGTTATATTATCAAAAAACGGAGAAAAAAATTGTCAAAGTCAAAAAATTGTGTTGCATATGTGCAAAACGCAACGATCTTGTTTCTGAAGCAATTTAAACGAAATTTCTATGGTAAGTCCCTTTAATAAAAGCAAACAAAATTCATGCGCAAATTCGTGTTGCGCATGCGCAGAAATGCAATTTTCTTATTTATGGAACAATTAAAATGAAATTTGGATGGTAGGTCCTCCTAATAAAAGAAAACAAAATGCATGCGCAAAAAATCGAGTTGCGCATGTGCAACATCCAACTTTCTTATTTATGGATCAGCAATTTTAACGAAAACTGGATGGTAGGTCCCTCTAATAAAAGCAAACAAAATGCATGCGCAAAAATCGTGTTGCACATGCGCAGAAATGCAACTTTCTTATTTATGGAACAATTTTAACGAAATTGAGATGGTGGGTCCTTTTAATAAAAGCTAACAAAATGCATGCGCAAAAAATAGTGTTGCGCATGTGCAACATCCAACTTTCTTATTTAAGGAGCAATTTTAACGAAATTTGGATGGTAGGTCCCTCTAATAAAAGCAGTGCGTACATATGTTGGCAATTTTTGGTTTCAGCTAGGAAGCTATTCTGTCAAGAATTTGACACCTGGTTTTATATCGAATTTGCCTTGTATATTTTTTTCGGATGACAAGTCTTTAGGGGTCAAATATTCCAAGGGCGATTTTTAGAGCGCGTCAAATTTTCTGGAAACCAATTATTCACGCAAGTATTCTAGCGAAGGTAGATTTTTATGAGCCTTTTTTTATGAGAGCGATTTTTCCTAGCGAATTTTCAGGAGATTTCTAAGGGCGATTTTTCTACAGGAATCGGCGTATTTTCGAGAAACGAATTTTATCAGGACGAGTCGTCAAATGTTTCAGCGGAGATTTTTTCGAGACTAAATTTTCTGGGAGCAATTTTTCACGCACATATTCCAGGGAAAAGTTTTCCAAGAACGATTTTTTTGTGTTTAAATTTTCAGGACAATAATTTTGCCATATCGAATTTAAAGGCGAGGCGTGTTTTTAATGTCAAATATTCCAAGGGCGATTATTTCGGGGCTAAATTTCCAGGACAAAAATTTGTTATAAATTATTCCAGGAAAGAATTTTCCGGTGCGCACATCCCCAGGGCGACTTTTTCAAGCCTACATTTTCCGGAAGCAGGAATTTCCGGGAACAAGGGCGATTTTTGAAGCGCAACCAAATTTTTTGAAGCAAATTTTCTTGGGATTTACAAGGACAACTTTTTCAGCAATCGATGATTTTTTAGAAACGAGTTTTTCTTAAGGGGAACAAGTACCATTTTTGGTGTACTTACACCAAACATTTAAATTCAAATTAATTCACGTTAATTCACGTTAATTCAAATTAATTCACGTAAATTCAAATTTATTCAGAGGAATGTACACCAAAAATTCAAAGTAGTTTCCTCTTGAGACTTTTTACAACCAGAAAAATTCAAAAATTTAAATCTAAACCTCAAAACTCAACAGGAGTGCCCGTTAGCATAAAGAGAATCTTGTGCGAATCCTCGCCAAACAAAGTTTTATTTATTTTTATTTTATTTTGCCTTTATTTTTGAGTGGGCGGGGTTTGAGCCAAGGCTGCTCTATCAACTCAACCCACTATACATTTACAAATATCCGAGCCCGAACCCGGATTGGAACCCGGGACCCTTAACACCACAGTTCAGCTTTAACTGAGACATGTGACATACAGCCACTCTTCAAGTTTCCATTTCTCAGTTCTCAGAAATGAGACGTAAGTAACACTTTCTCAAAAACCGACAAGTCGATTGATTCGAGAATGGGTACGCAATTTTTATATGATTGTGACAAAGAGTATTGGTAGTAAACTTCTACAGCATATCCGAATGAAAATTCGGTAGAATTTTGATCGTGCAAGGTTCCTTTATTCAATCACAAACTGCCAAATTGAATTAAAATTCCAGTACAAATAAAATGAGTATTTTTGTTCGGTGTAAGGTGATATGTAACTGATTGGTCGTGATAAGTAAGAACAAAAACGAAAGCGGAGCGAAACGTTGGACTCCTAATTCTATTTGGGAAAATAAGTTTTGTATTCTCTGTAAACGAGTAACGTTCATAATAGAAGTGAGTGTGAATTCTCACCAAACTTTTTATTATTACATAAAAGTAAATTGAATTAAATCTGAACAAAAACAAACGCACTTAAGTGGAAGGACGACAGATTCTAATCTAGTTATTTTTCCAGGTTACCAACAGGAATTCGTTCCGAACGGATCCTTAGAGAGAACCTCGCCTCTTGTTAAGACAGAAGACGTCATTTCAGAACGAGATGGTGGAATTCCAATTTTTAGAATACGAAGTCCCGAAGAAACCGAAGCGGCGCACGATTTGTTATCTTTGTCTCAAAGTCTACCACCTCTGCCTCCGCCAAGCATTGTCACTATACATCGCAGCATCCCCCATGGAGAGACACCGTCATCTCCTACACGATCTTATCGGCCCCTATCCCCCGAGCAAATTCCGTGTTACCGCACCTCCTCACCTATTCCCTTAGCTATTCCGAATTACCAGCCCCCGATAGTCTATGTAGTACAAATCCCGCAAGCACCCACGCCACCCATATCCGAATGTTCATCAGATACGGAAAATCACACTATACATATATGTCCCGATGATAATTCTCAGCAGGAAACCGTTACAATCCAAAGCTTTTCAACTAATTCGAAGCGTCAAGATACGATTTCCATACAAAGCATTACAACAAATACGGACGACATCCTCATCCTTCCACTGTCTCCCGAGTCGGATAATCGACCTTTAGACACCACATCGAAATCCGTTCCCGCGTCTCCCGAGTCTGATAACGGCATGCTAAAAGCGACGACAAGCGTCATCGTTAGTCCGCTCAAACTGAAACCGCCTCCTATCAGACAACAATCTGTTATAATATCCACTACGTCAGCGCATTTGAACATTCCGGATAGGCGTATGCGAAAGCATGGCGGAAAGATTACAAAGTTAATTAAAAATATTAATAATAACGATGACCAGATTGTCGATCACAATATTGAAATTGAGGACGAGCCCGATTCGCCGGAACCGAAGAAACCGAAAACGGTGAGTTTGTTATTCGGATTCTGTTTCCAATTTCCCTTTACATTTGCAATTTCTCTACACCGATTTTTCGTGTTTCAGTTAAACTATCCTTGAAAACAAATGTATTCACGTAGGGATTTATTTAAGTATCAGATTTTATCTGCGGTAAGAAAGACCGACCCTCAAAATGATTTCGAACCTGAATTTTGTGGAGAATAGAACCCTAATGCGCAAAGAACTAGACATAGCAGCCATGGTTGCTGAGAAGTATGACAAAAAAATGCAAAAACGGTCTTTGTCTTGTAAAGTTTTCAAATTCTGAACTAAAATTGTACCCGAATAAAATGAATTACTCTTTTGTCGTCGACTAGCCAATTTTTTTAACACATTTTACCTTTTTTTGGTGTTTTTTTTCTGACTAGAATTTTCCCTTTTGGTTCTCTGCAAATCACTACCAAATTTCTCTTTTCCACCTTGCCAACAAAAAGAACAACACGAAATGGTCTTAGAATTTAATTTCCAAATAGTCTCCACATGCATCTTCCTTTAGTACAATCAGTGTTTACAATACGTACACTTTTTTGTTAGAACTTTTTAACGTAATCTCAATTGAAATGGTCACTTCATTTTTTAATGATAAATACCCTCAAATTTAATACAATATAAATATACTCGTATATTGATACACACGTAAACAGACTTTTTGCTCACATTCAGCAATAAATGGACTCTTGAATTTGGCCGAATGAACTATTCAAATTACACAATAAATAAAATTAAATTCTGGTATAAGAACGAATCTTGAATTTACAACAAATTCAGTGTACCTACACATTTCAATGTCAGTCATTGAAAATTGATTGATATCATAGATGTTACAGATGTTACAGATATTACAGATGTTACAGATGTTACAGATGTTACAGATGTTACAGATGTTACAGATGTTACAGATGTTACAGATGTTACAGATGTTACAGATGTTACAGATGTTAGATGTTACAGATGTTACAGATGTTACAGATGTTACAGATGTTACAGATGTTACAGATGTTACAGATGTTACAGATGTTACAGATGTTACAGATGTTACAGATGTTACAGATGTTACAGATGTTACAGATGTTACAGATGTTACAGATGTTACAGATGTTACAGATGTTACAGATGTTACAGATGTTACAGATGTTACAGATGTTACAGATGTTACAGATGTTACAGATGTTACAGATGTTAGAGATCAAACGTCTCCTGCGATCTAGTTAAATTTACCACGAATCCTACGCAGTTTTTTAACGCGTAATGAGGAATATGTTTGATCAACATTTAGTTTAGCCTGCGAGAGAAGTCTTTATTTATATACGTATGCTATTCTACACTTAACTAATTTTAAATTTCCTCTTGGCCTTATCGCGTAATAGTAACTCTTTTTTGTATATTAAAAACGTAACTTTTTCACGGTAAATTTCACCTTATGATTTAAAAAAAACCTTTCGGAAAGATAACGAATTCCAATATCACAACGAAAAAATTTTATTGTTCCTTTTAATTAAAATCTTACCATCTCTCCCCGATGGCTGCGAGACTTCATCTATCTGTTAACTTCGAATGAACCCCTCTTTAATTAATCTTTCACACCCACAAAATAATGGCAAATTATCTTTAAATTGGCCAAACCTAAATTCTCATTGATATTTGTCTCTTGTGCTACCAATCATAGATGCTTCCAAGACCTACGCAATTTTAAAAAACGTACATTCAGCACTTTCCACGGTATTAACTTGTCGCATGATGAGCTAAAAAATGTCAGATTATATCCCCATTAAACATACTGCAATCCTATCTCTACGCCCGCTATCTAAACGCCAAAACCAATTAAAGAACAAAAGCTCATTGAAGAACCCTGCGTAAAAATGTTACATATTTTTTGACTCCAATCATCCAGATAAATTCTTTACATGACTAAAGTTGGTTTGGGGAGAGCAGAACCTCTGCATTTTTTACTTTACTTATTTTTGCGAGAAAAATTCAAGAATTTAAATCCAAAACCGTCACAAAATTTACATAACAGTAATACAACACTTCTTACATACCGTTCCAACTTCCAAAATCTCTAGACTCACACAAATACAAGGTTACCATATTTTTTTGAAAATACGCACAAAGATCGAAAGGGAGTATTGCTGAAAGGTTATTCAAGTTCTATTTTGGACAGTACCAAGAAATATAGTAAAGGCTATAATAGCCATTCCTTTAAAATCACTAGAACCGACTTGTTTTACATCCACTGAAAATTAACATATCTGAAGGGCCAGCTAGTAGAAAGAAAACAAATTATCTTAATACAAAATACTCGTTAAATTCTTTACGGTACAATACTTAACATCAAAGGTTATAGTCAGAAAAGGAGATATGGTGAAGGGCCGCTAAAATTGGACAATATAGCTCTATAGGGTTTCGAAACCCACCACATAACAGTATTCCAATAACATAAATATTCAGGAGTCATGAAATAGTGTTACATTGTACAAAATAAGATGGTGGAAAAATACCACTGTAAACAAGTCCAACAAATATATTACGCATCCACATAAAACAAACAAAAACCCCTGACTCAAGTATAACGCAAGACTTGAATTCCAAAACCACCTTCCTGCAAATGATTAAAATATAAAATACATGTGGAAAGTTCCATAGCACTTTAACTACGCACACAACATCCCAGATACCCGAAGTTACCTAAACACCCTGTATATTAATCTCAAATGAAAGCCATCCACACGTATGGAAAATTCCACTTTAACTACCTACGTATGGACAATTACAATAGGCGCTAACTTATATTACACCCTTTACTAATCTTCAACCTTCCCCTAATACATGATAAATCTGCACTTGTATCAAAACTGGATAAAGATTATTAAGCTAAAGGCATTTTCCTAACTCACGATTCCTATAAACGTAAAATTGAAGCGACGTTCTGCTACGTACTCTACGTACACGAGATGACATTACGTATGTGCCATTTCTAACAAATAAACAATGCTACGTACCCATAAATACGGTGCGTACTTCAACTGTATCTTTTTTTTCTCGCTCGAAGAAAATCAAAACGCTAACAAAATATGCAGTGGCGTAACTTGTGTTCACAAAATATTTGATTAATACTGTCAATAAAATATTTTTTACGCAAATTTCCTAAATGGAACCAATCATTAATTTTACACAAATCAAGAAAAAATAACCGAACCTTGTATATATTGTTCGCTGTCACAATTCAAACAGCAACTGACTTAAATTGTTTCGGTAATCTTCAACCTTCGAAAGGGAAAAAAAACTGAAGCACTGAGTGTGCTTTAATCCCGAGGGTACAGACTGTGACCCGCGACGTAGTGGAGTATGACAAACACCCGAGGAATTAGGACGCATTTTTGTCCTGAAGTATAACGCTATTGTTTGTACTCCTGTAATAAGCTACAGTAATTTCAGTGTTAAAGTCCAAGTTTGAAAAAACAAAAATTGGGGGGGGGGGCTTCGATTTCGATGATCATTGGTCCATTCTTCATTAATTTTTTTCATATCTACCTCGCCAGATTGCCTTGTTGGCGATTTCCGTTCAAATGGGGACAATCCGGAACAGTGTGGGACACTGTCAGTGGGAGGTTGCACAGATCACAATAATTCTAGTACTATTTCCTGAGCACTTACATTAGATTGCATCCCGGAGCAATATTGTTTTCGGAAGTCCAATAACAATTTACGGAATTTTTCCTTCCTGGGAGGTATAGAGCTCCCGGTTTTAGACTTTCCTCCAAATTGAGAAACCTTTAGTACATTTATGATAATTTTTCAAGAGGGGTCATTGAATTATTTTTTTTTAACGTCTGGGGGAGAGTCTAAGACCGGAGGGTCTCTCTGATAAACCTTCTGTACTTTTGTAATCATTTTTGAAGGGGGACATTGAATCATTATTACTTTTTTAATCATTTTGGGCGATACAGCACAACAACAGGGAATGGAAGATATGGAATACCCTTCAGGCAAAGAAAACAAGGTCACAAGGTTTAACAATCCGGGGGAGAGTCTGAGACCGAGTTTAGGGGGTATGGTATACCCCCCAGTCACACCCAGGTAGGTATAGGTTCCAGGAAAGAAGAACTTTCGGAACTGCAATAACAATTCACGAAATATTTCTTTCTGGAATGTATTTATCTAGGGGCATTCCATACGTTCCAGACCCCTGGTTTTAGTCTCTCCCCCAAATTGATAAACCTTCAGTTTTTAGTTTCCGCAGAAATCCAATATGGCGTCTATATGAAACCAGAAACTAGTAGCCTATAGTATCTACATCTAGCGTGTTATGGAAATTCTGACAGATTCTGATTCTTTGGGAAAAAGCATAGAAGGTGTTTATAGTCCAGGCTAAATAGCTCTAAAATAATTTACTTTAAAAAAAATTAGGTATCGGGCGAATCCGGGTTTTTCAGGCAGGTCAAATAATTAGAAATTGGGGAAAAATAATATTAAAACAGCTGAAGTTTTCGCGGGTGAAATCCCGGGGGTTGAAGGGGGTGGAAAGTGGAGTTTTTGCAAATTGTCGCAAAACTATTAATTTTAGAAGAAAATGTTTAATTTATTTTTTGATTTTTTTTGGTTTTTTATTCTTATTTTTGCGAAAAGAAGTCGTAGGAAACATAGCTTGTTTTATGATAAAAAAGCAGACAATTTTTTTGGACCCGTAACGTTGAACCGTTTCCAAGAATCCACGATTTCTGAAAAAACACCTCTTTTTCAAGGGGATGAGAAATCTATTTTGTGTATATCTTAAAACTGTTTTTTTGGCGATTTTCTCGAAGTTTTTCTATAGCAATAATATTTTTTTTTATTTCGAAAGGTTTTTCAAAAAGTTTTTTTAATCACAAAGCGGCAACTTTGCCCTTTTAACCACAAATTTGCACCACCCTGTACAATGCTTAAAATAAAATATGTTATGTCACTTTAATATAATGTATAGAGCTATAAAACTATTGGTACATATAATATACAGAAAATATATACTTTAAACGGCGCAAAAGCGCTGTTGCGTGCTTAAAGCTCGTTATCGTCTGCATTGGTTATCTCCAAAGTTCCATGAACACGTAGCCTAGAAATAAAAGCTTTGGGGAAAGCTTACACCGCAGTAATTACCTATAGACGCATGTGAAAATGGGATTTCCGTGATTCGAGAAGACCCTAAATTCGATGTACTCGAATGATCTGTCAATAGAATAGGTTTCAAATGTTTGCAATGGAAGACCCTCGATGTCATATACAAATTCACCCAACAAATTTGCGCCATCACCGTCATCCTCCTCGGAGTCTAATCCCTGGAAGCAGACCGTGGTAATATACTTCTTTATGCTATGCCCTTACGATAACTGCAAACTCCTTTGGCGCGGTATCAATTTTGCCAGTTGGTGAAATTGCCTTTGAAATGTGTTCAATACTAACGCTATCTATGAAAACTGGACCTAACAACTTTATTAGTGCGTAGCCTGTTGAACCCTTGAAGGCCCAGCATTCTCCAGGCAAGACACCGGGCTGTAGAAGGCAATGTAGAAACTGTCAAAGTCTAACGTACACTACCTGTAGTATTTGCCGAGGACCATTGGAGCTTTGGCATATGGGTATGCCAAAAAGAGTGCAGGACCTGGAACTCGATTCATGTTGCTCGGTGTCACCCACGGATATAATTCTGCCACCTAGAACACCAGTTTTAGTGAAGCCCTATGAATTGCTCGAATCTGATTACCGGCGGACTCCAAGGCAAAATCTGGCTTAGTCGTTTTATCCGCATCATATTGTAGCAATGCCTGCTGTATATCATCGAGCATACCGCCACCACCACGTGCGCCACGTGTGCCGACAGCACTCAACGCCCCGCCTTTCCCCTACGAATTCTGGTGAAGCAGTTTAAAATGAAAAGGTTGCAACTTACGCCTAGAAGATGGTTTCGCATTTCGTATAAACACGTTTGAACGTCAGTAACTCGTACATAAAAATATACTAAAATAAAGACCGACGCGCCACCTGTAAAAAGTGATTAAATTGCGAAGTGCGGGACGTCGGTCGGTTACATAATAAAAAGAGATTCGTGCATTTGCAGCTTCTTCGGTTTGCTTCTTCATCACCTTCTCGGCAAGGGGGTGGAAAATTCATTGCTCCTACGTCACGGTGAGACCACCAGCACGTAATTCATCGAGTGAAGGTGTTTGTCGGTGACGTTTACGCTTGACATTATTTTTTATCCATAGCAACCCCTAAATTCCAAAAAGATGCAGTCACGTAATTAACTTCGGAATTTGCTGATCCCACCAGATGGTCCTTAAATGAAAGCTAGGGTGATAGGGTAGAAGGTGTACGCTAACCTCAAGAACGGGGTGGATTCAGCTTTAGGAAGGTCTTCTTGTAACAGTTTCACGTACTCATTATCGTTTTTTAGGAGACCAATTGTAGTTTTTTGTTCTCCATCTACTTGTTGACAGCTTCTATAACTCGTTGGAAGTTTCTCACTGGATTTTCAAGTTTCCTACCCTCCGCTACGATGGTGATGTCATCGGCGAAACTTATAACGTTTTCCCCCGGAGGTACAATGATGTCAAATGCCCCATGTGTGATTGTCCATAAGGTTTGTCCGATAACCTCCCTTTATATGTTCCTTCCTCCGCCTCAATGTGATATTTAAGAGATATGTTAATTATTAACATATAAGATCGATGACAGAGATGGATGTATTAACAGTTAATACATCCATCTCTGTCATCGATCTTATGATGTCCTGTTCGCGTTCTGTTCTGCAGGGTCTTTATGGTGTCTACCGTCGACCTTCCTTTTCGGAAGCCATATTGTCCATCTGATATTCGTTTGCTCATTACTGCGTCAAGCCTATTTTTAATTATTTTTTCAAAGATTCTTTCCAGAGGAAACAAGAACTCGAGAATGTTGTAATATTGGACACCACAACAAGAGGGCATTGATCTTCTAAGATCTTGAAAATGGAATCTGACACCACAAAAAATGGGTTTATTGTCCTTGGATAACCTTGAAAATGTAATTTGCCAGCACATAAAAATACAGTCATTGACCTTGTATGCCATTGAAATTTAATTTGACCGCACAAAAATAAAACCATTGACCACATGGGGCCAATAACCTTGTATGCCCTTAAAAATGATGTCCATTAACCTAGCAGAACAAGGTCAGCAGAACACAATCAAACATATTGCATAATTATGTGCAAAATTAGATGCTAATTAAGTGTCCTATTCCCTAATTAAATGCTCCTTTTTTTTAAATTATGAACCTGGCAGAACGTGTAATAATTTTTATAAAAAGAAGCATTTAATTCGGGGATAGGGCGCTTAATTAGCACCTAATTATAGTTAGTTGACTTTTTATTTTCTTGGGTTTTTAAGGTAGTGCTCTGCTGAGTTCATATGAACCTGGCAGAACATGTAATAATTTTAAAAAAAGGAGCATTTAATTCGGAGATAGGGCTCTTAATTAGCACCTAATTAGCACCTAATTATAAATAGTTCACTTTTCATTTTCTTGGTTTTTTGAGGTAGTGCTCTGATGAGTTCATATGCACCTGGCAGAACATGTAATAATTTATAAAGAAAAGGAGCATTTAATTCGGGAATAGGGCACTTAATTAGCACCTAATTATGCAATGTTTGTGCGTTCTGCTGACCTTGCTCTGCTAGGTTCATGGAAATTTAAAAATGTAATTTATCAATTGAGGCCATTGACCTTGTAAATGTAATTTAACACTCCATGTAATGATAACTTGTGTACGCGCCCTACCGTCCAAGGTCACAGCCCACGTGGCACGCAACTTTCACTTTAACCTAATTTCCAAGGTCACCACGTGACAGGCGACTTTACCTTGACCTAGTTTCCACAGTCACCACCAGATGGCGAGCGATCTAGAAGTGGTCCAGGATCGCCCCCGTATAACTACTCACTTCGCAGTGTGGAACTTCCTAAAATTCACTTTCGTTCTTCTCAGTTGGTTCAAGTGGCACACGTTTGGAGAAGAGCTGTCTAATAGTACGTCGCAAAGCCTCATCATTCCATCCTAATAGGTACCCTTTCTTGTTGAATTTACGAGAAACTTATCTTACGCCCTCTACCTCAATCGTCCTTTCCAAGTTCATCACACAGCATTTATCAGCACTTTTACGGTCGTTGATTCCCTTCTTGGTAAGTTGTCTAGATTCCTTGAGTCCAACAATTGCATCTTCAAGAGTTCTTCCGGCCTTCCTCACTCTGGTGACAATTCACCACCTTTGCAACACGCGTTCTGCGAAGATATTCCACCAGTACACCGCATATTCTCCTCATCTCGCTCTTTAGATGTTCAGCATCCCTCTTAATTGTTCACTGTACGTACATTTTTGTTCCATTTTACGTACATACGTTCATGGGACAAATATGTACGTCTGATGTACGTACAGTTGTGTGCGATTACAAACTATAACTCTGTAACATACAAAGTAGGTACATGATACGTCAGAAAATTCTGTCAACTGATAATTTTTGATAATGTGATCATGACGTGCCCACGTACGTTAAATATACAGTCACGTTGTTCAATAAAAAGTTGACTAAACCGCACGGGTACTTCCTAAGTAACACAGGTACGTGCACTGTAAATACATAGTACGTACAGCCTTGGATTTATGAACTTACATTTCACGTACTCTTACGGTTTATGTACGTATATCTCACGTACATGGTAAGCTATTTTTGCACCATTTTGTACAACCTAAGTACGTACTTTGACGTACGTACTATGTACGGGAGAAGGAGTAAGTACATTATACATACATAACAGTACATCTAATGCACGTATGGCAAAGTACAAACCTAACATGTACAAAGTAGTGCAAAAACAACGTACCATGTTCGTAAAATGTACGTCCATAAATCCAGCGCTGTACGTACTATGTATTTGCAATGTACGTACTTGTGTTATTTGTGCCGTTATACAGTTGGTCTGTTTCTCTTTCCCAGGTATTTGTTCGTGGGTGCTTTCCTCCACATAACTATAGTCATAGTCACTCAAGCTCTCCTCCTCAAGTACTGTCCATCCACGGAGCGCAGAGATAACTGTAGATGGGAGCGTTGCTCCTTGCGTGCAAATGCAGGTGTCTCTCTCTAATCGCTATGTCTTTGTTGTGCAGGGCTGACCACATAAGTGGTTAAACGTTCCTCTCAGATTCTGGCCTCGCACCATGCCGGGAAAGGGGTATTAAAATCACCGGCCGCTATTGACTGCACCACTCATGCTGGCGTTAAATTGTCCCGAGTGTCGTCGAAAAACGATCGTCTGTTTCATTCGGCGACAAATATAGGTACACTATAAATACGCAAAAGATAGAAAAAGTATTAAATTTAACTACGTTTACCAACACTAACTAAAAGTCAGATAGTTATTGGGCGTCTCTGCTATTTATCAGCTTGGACACGCCATTGTCCACGGAGCGTGGCCTTCAATATCAAACACGAGACATTTTTTGTCGCACTTATTCCTATAGTGACCCTTCTTGCCGCAATTAAAGCACTCTTCTCTTTCAGATCCCATTCACTACATAGGTATACGGCCTATTGGGTCGAATCCTCAACACACGCCACACTTATTCACCCCCACCCTTTTCTTAACGAAGCGGTCCATACTCCGGTGTCCGGATTCTTTTCATTCTCGTCCCCTGGGCTACAGCTGTAATTTCTGATACATCAACAATTTCCAAAGCAAGTTCTGTTGATATCTTCTTTCTATCTTCGAAGTTCCTGGCGAAGACTGCATAGAAACTCTATGACAGCATCTTTCTCTCGGTAGAGCTGTTCCGCTATTTAGCCTATGGCAGTTCTATGTACAAATATGAGGGTAGATAACCGCTAAGTGCGAACTGACACTGCATCTGCAATATCAAGCAGCTGGTAAACAAAGAAATCTTTTCGGGGTAAATTTTTGTCTATGTAATTTTGGACAAAAAACTTTGCCAAAGTTTGTCTTGCATTTTGAAATAACGCGAACGTGATTTTCGTAAAAAAACTGAAGTGTGAGAGACTGAACCTAAGTTTGTCGTCTCTTTCTTGCGTTCAATCGACAAACCAATTCTTTTTAAAAACCTTTTTTTTTTCAATTCTATCAAAATTGTTCTTCATTTATTTCAATACTAGGTAGTTATGTAAGTGTCAAATAACTCCCAGTTAGAATACTATACTTAAAATAAAAATGCGCATTTTCTTTACAGAGATTCTTCAAAGTCGTTCCAGGAGACTCAGAAGGCAGCTCTAAATTAGAAGCCGAAGAAGACTCGCCTAAATCTAGCCGATACATCTGCATGGACTGTGGCAAACAATACGCAACCTCCAGCAACCTCTCGAGGCACCGACAGACGCATCGAAGTCTCGACTCGCAATCGGCCAAAAAATGCATGACATGCGGTAAGGCCTACGTTAGCATGCCGGCCTTAGCGATGCACGTACTCACACACAAACTCGCGCACAGCTGCGGCGTCTGCGGCAAACAGTTCTCGCGACCGTGGCTCCTGCAGGGCCACCTGCGCTCGCATACCGGCGAAAAGCCGTACGGTTGCGCGCACTGCGGCAAGGCGTTCGCCGATCGGTCCAACTTGCGCGCGCACATGCAAACGCATTCGGCCGACAAGAATTTTCGCTGTTTAAAGTGTAAGAAGACGTTCGCGCTTAAGTCATATCTAAACAAACATCAGGAATCGACCTGTTGGGATTACAATAAGGAGAGCGATCCGGACGACCCGAACGATCCGGTCGTCGAAAACGTACGCAAAATTTTGGGTAACTCTAGCAATTAAAGTAGGTATATTTTTTAACAAAGCCTAGGACACGCTGGTCTTGCAATAATAAGCAATATTCGCTACTGATAACGCTTAAGAGTCGTACGAAAACTGATAGAATTTAATATTGCAACGAACCATTTTTTTTAGATAGGTTCTACTCGTATGCATCCACTTCGTGTGTACAGATCATTCCCGTATTCTTTAAGAAATTTCCAAAGTGAGATATTATGTAGTGGTTAAGACTTAGATATTTATTTATGTAATAGGAAGAAAGCATTAGCGTGTCAAAATTACGTATAATTACTCAGAAAAAGTATATATTTTTCAAAGTACACAATTATTTTAACCGTTGAGGCCAATGCTATACAACGAAATAAATTTATGTGTATTGCGTTGTAGTAGGTATTTATACGTCAATACGATATCGGACTTTAAATATCCCCCCACATATTAACTGGGTAGCAATAGGAAAGTTTACATTATTATTATTATTTTGGTTCAGTGCATCCCTAACGACCATTGGAAGGAAGTCTCCATCACAGATTCAATTGTTTAAAGATACCGAATCATTTGGTGATTAGTACGTTATTAGAAAAATAATAATGATAAAAACAGAGTAATTTCTGGTCAAGTATTATTACGTAAATGCGAGCAAATTTAAATACATACACTGTACATATCTCAAAATAAGCCTTACAATAGTAACCGTGGTTCCTAGTACACTTTCGAAAGGAGAGATAAACCAGACGTGTTTCCGCTCCATCTTCTATCATTATTTTGTAATTAAGTATTCCAACTACTAAATTTAATCCCCTTTTGCTCACTAACGGCTACACAGCGTAGCGAAAACACCAGCGCGTTTAATTAATCTATCCTTGATTGAGCACAACTTCATTTATGTGACGGGAAGGTATATATTTCACACTGTGTCATATTCTAACACGACAATTCCCATTTTGGGGACGCAATCACTTAAACCCTTTCTCAATATTAACTTTATCGGCTTTGAAGTCGCGCAACTTCCTAAGATAACGTTTTCTATTATTAATACAGGCCATTTGTGCTCAAACGGGCATCTAGCGGGAAAGTTGTGGGGTAGTTTTGATTTCTTTGATTCCATATGTTTTTTGGGGTGCTGAATCCGAATCTGAGGTTTGCCAACAAAATTTCTTGACGCAACATTGAAAAAAACACAAAAGAAGTTGAAAAAGATATTTTTTTGGCAGTTTTGTGCTTACAATTTGAAAACTATCAACTATTCGAAAATAACCTTCCTATTCAAAATGAAAGTACATAAAATTTCCTACAGACCCCACTATTTAGTTTTTTTCCTTGATGAACCGTTCGGGCTCGAGTGCCAGTTGAAAATTGGGGTATTTCAGCTGTATCCGCAAATACTCATCTTTTATTATTATTTTATTATTATTCTGTGCAAATATAAATCCGTACTTTTCATTGTCTACCGGTCTCCTGAAAAGATTTTATAACTGTTCCGTCTGGTATAAAACTCTCCCACTCCTTCACAGATGAGCCAAGGCCCATTACGTCACCGTGTACCTGCGTTTGCAGTCTGGAGACCCTCCTCCCATTCACATACATACACACCCTCACAAAGTTACACAGATGGACGGACGGACAGTCCAAAATCATGAACTCGCTTTTTGTCGCTGGTTAACATGTAAACAGAAAAGAAATAAATCGAGTTCAGTTGTTAGCAGACAAATTTAAGCTGGGGTAATTGCGTTACCCCACTCCGAGGAGTACGTGATTCTTCAGAACACCGGAGCAAGAGGGATAATGCCGTTGAATAGGAAATCAATATACCCCCTTTTGCCATTTGAATTTTTTGAATTAATAATGACCACAGCGCCAATTTCCCAAATTCAACAATAATTATCCAAACATGCTAAGGTAGGGTTTTGTGATTTCTTTATCTGGTTCGGAAGAGAGTGGGAATAGTTTTAGATGGCACAGTATAAGTATTATATATCATAAATAATATAATAATATGACATAGTGTTGTTCGTTAGAAATTAACTTTTCATACAATTCTGGACTACAATAAACACCTTGAATGTTATAAAAATGAGAAAACCACCCTTACATATGGAATTCAAATAATAGTCGGTAAATGCAAGGAATTCACTTATTGACAACGCTTAATATTAATTTAGGGTTTTAGTGCGAAAAACTATGTTTTGTGGAGATAGCCGAAATACGCCAATTTTCAACTGGCACTTGAGCCCGAACGGTTTATCGAGGAAAAAAACTAAATAGTGGGGTCTGTAGGAAATTTTATGTACTTTAATTTTGAATAGGAAGGTTATTTTCGAAAAGTTGATAGTTTTCAAGTTGTAAGTACAACACTGCCAAAAAAATATCTTTTTCAACTTCTTTTGTATTTTTTTCAATGTTGCGTCATGAAATTTTGTTAGCAAACCTCAGATTCGGATTCAGCACCCCAAAAAACATGTAGAATCAAAGAAATCAAAACTACCCCACAACTTTCCTGGTAAAAATACAATTTAACTGGATTATATTCCCACTCCACAAAACACTTTCACCCTTGACGAATTCAGCACAAATTTGCTTATCGACGAAAACTATTACAGTTGATTGTCCGTTGGTGGTTCTCAACTAAATTAAACCCCCCCTATCCCTCATTAATTAATGGATGCCTACAAAATGGTTTTTTATAACAAACTCGGAAGTCTTTAATCGCTAACCTGTTTGCTTAATTCCCACCCCACGAATCAAACCATAATCAGATCATACGACCAACATTGATAAATGTATGGAAAATAATTATTACGGACAATGTCAACAATGGTTAAGTTTTGTCTCTCTCATACTCCTATAATGCTTATTGAGTTTCTTTCTAGCTTATTAGCAATTTCTTTTTTCGATGCCTGTATATGCTACGCTGTAATTTCCACGATACTAAACGGACTTCATGCCGAATTCGCAGTTGTAACCAAATAGCTTGAATTAAGATAACGAAAAATGCTACATCTAGTCTCCGTACATCCGGAATCCATTAAAAAAGTAATGCTCTACGGAAATTACATGATGCAGAAAAGAAAAGGAAATCGGCCCTCTAAATTATGACATACCATAGAATTTCTATTATATTACTCAGAAATCTCAACGAAATTTCGAAAAAAATTAAATGCAAATGAAAATTTACCGTTACAGTACCCCTTGAGTACCATTAGAGTAATCATGTTTTATTTTGATGGATTAATTGACAGCTTTCGATGTGGAGCATCTCTTCTGGTTCTATCTACGTTTTCGTTTTGATTCCATCTTAATAAAACACCAACCCGCATCATTGATTTCGTATTTCGTGTACTGATTCTATTCTCCAGTCCCTATAGTTTTGTTTCCATTCCTACCACTGAAAATTAGAAAAGGAAGGTACACTTGAGTATTTTATAAGCGCAATATTTCAAAGCACGGCATAACAAATTGATTGGTGAGAGGTAATAATACGGAAAAAGAGACGAGAACAATTTATTGGGGTGGGGTACAATAAAATAATATTCGCGGATTTGTGACAGGCATAACGAATGTAAAAGATAAGAGAGAGATAAGAATAATAAAGGTAATAGTGAGATTGAGATGTGGAAATGAGGAGAAAGGGTATGACGGATGGAAAAAAGAGGAAGAAAGGAAATGAGGATTATGTATCAAAAAAGAGAATATATAAATAAATATATGAAGAAAAGCAGGAAACAAATATTACAGGAAGAAGGAAAAGAGAGAATTGGATGTAAGAGAGAAAGAGTAAGAGAAGATGAAGAAGCAAACGGAAAGAGACGGAGATGAGGATGAGGATCGACACGAAGAAAGAGAGGAAGAAGAGGGGAAGTGCTCGCCGAAAGGTTTTCCATTTCTTTTGGATTGGTGGGCGTGGTTCCATTAGGACTAACTAAAATTCTAGATCGGGAAAAGTCTGCTCTTTTTATATTCCTGCGAGCAAATGGATACTATCTGGTGAACCGTTGTTGCCGAAGTTTGCATGCAGGTTTTACGTTTAAACTCCGTAACAAATTAAATTTTACGTTCTTATTCGGTGCTATATTATAAAATTTATGATTCCACCCACTTCTAATGGAAAATATCGGAAAGTTTTCCAATGAATCCGTTTCAGCTAAAATGTTTTCAATTTTATATGGTTTTTGGTTACACAGGAAATTGACTTACACTTCGTTATTTGAAATGTGACTTTTAATCTACAAAAATCTGGAATAAATTTGATATAGGTTTGGGAACTCTTTGAGTTTTTTCTAAATCTTTGCGAAATATACTCTTTTCAGTATATCAAATAGGTACTTGTTATCAAGCAAACGCTAATAAGAAATTCGTTCATATCAAATTTCGTAGTTTTGAACTTAATGTTATTGGAACTGCCTTTATTCATTCAACAATGGATGTTATATTGAAAAGACAGTTTTTAATTACAACGAATAGTCGCTTGTAACGGCTATACAGAACGGAACCAAACTCTTAGGTTCGAAGAGATTGTGGCAACCGCATCTGTTTTCTCCAATACAGGTCTTGTTATCGCTAGACATACTTTTGTCCATGTTCGCTATGTAGCGGTATATACCTATGTTTCACAAAATACAAATACAAAATCGAGAAAATTACTTTTGAAATTCTTAAGCGACCACCCGTTACAGTACCCCCTCGTGTTTTTCAAAATGAAAAAACCAGATTGCGATTTTAAAAACAGCAAAAATCATCAGAAGTTAACTGACCTAACCTAAAAATTTTTGAACCAATTTATCTAACCTATAAAACCTAAATCAATTCAAAAAGCATAAAAAATAAGGTCTTCTATTCACTTCGCTTCCTTTATCTTCAACACACTATTAAATTTTACTACTATTCACAAAACAAATAATAGGCTATTCAACACAGCTCCACTTCACTTCTAAACTTCTCTTCATTTAACTTCACTTCTATGCGAATTGGACAAGTGTGATATTTCCTCTTTTTCTTCCTCCTCT